TATAAAAACTAAATGAAACCCACTGCATGTGGGAGGAACTCACAACAATAGGAATCATTATTTTAAGAAATAATATTCTACGTTGTTCTGAATGGATTGGCACCGTGTCGGATCAGTAACTCAATTGCTTGAACCTTTCCGTTTCGGGCAGCGTGAAGCAAAGGAGTAAATCCACAATGGTTGCATTTATCAACTGATGCCCCGCGATTTAATAATATTTGCATCTGTAAATTGGAAAATTATATTCAAATAAGATGGCTGTCAATTTTAACAAAAATTCTACAATTCTCCAATTTATTTAAAAAAGTGCTTTAGCAACTTTTAGGAGTTAAAGGTAACTGCTAATATAAACAAAATTATTCATAAGTTGTATGAATGGGCATGGAAAAGACTGTGCATACTGGTACTGAAAGATTAATACTGGAAGAGAATTCGTTTTTACAGGAAAAATAGTAATGAAGTGACAAAACTTTTGCTGAAATGACTTAGTTTTATTCAATCTAAATTAAATTGAGCAATATTTTTATTTATAAGCAAAAGTTAAAATGAAGCAAAATAGCAGAATTCATACTACTATAAACTTAAACTCACCATTGCTAAGTTGCCTTGTGCAGAGGCAATTTGCAATGCTGTAGTGTTATCATCATCCATAATATCTACTGATAATCCATGAGCTAAATTATCACTGATAGCTTCATAATCAGCTCTATAGGCTGCATCCAAAAATGCCTTTATTCTTCCCGATTCATTCATTTCCTTCAGTTCTATTATATCCATTTCTCTATTACAAAAATCCTTAAAGTAAGTAATAATTATTTAAAAACATATTCGAATTCGAATCTAACCGCATCTTTTACCAGTCGCTATCTGTCACACATCACATATCCAAATGTTTACTATGAACACTGAGCAAACTTACTTCACAAACTTATCCGAAAATTTTTCTTTTATATTTTAAAAAACCAATTCATTTTATACTTTTATCATTGCATTACCTACAATTATTGCACCACAGCTGTCAATAGATAAGATTGCTGTTAATGGTTTATATCAGTGACAAGGAGAGGAGATGACGTCATGCATATTCTGTCTCAGAGAATGATTTACTTCTGAGATCAACAATGGTCGTTCAAAAATCTACAATTTCTCAAATTTGTTAAATTGTTAGGTTTAGAACATGCATCTCAGATGACCATCTGTCAGAAAATGATGGAATATCAAACATTTCAGAATAATTTAAGCAAATTAAATTTGCTGAATTAAAAATTGTGCATCAAATATTTATATTTCTATATACTGCCATTGGTTTTTCATTATAACTGTGGTTTACTTCATGCAATTTCTCTGTGTGACGTAACGGAGAGAATTCAATCAGCCAGGAATAAAAACAGAAGAAACGACTGAAATTCATCAATTATTTAAGCAATGAACATTAAGAATTCCATTAACACACCTGTTTAATCAACATAGGTAAATGCCTCATCTTGTATGGAAAGCATTACTTATTTTTATTTCTTACTTATCAAGTAATTTGTTATTTTTTCACTTGTTAAATAATTTTATCTATCAACTAAGCAGAGATTTTTATTTTCTTGAACTAAAGAAATCGATTGAGGAATGTGCAGAAATTCATAGCAGTTCTATCTAAAACTAAAATGAAATTTATTAGTCCTAAATTAAAGAAATAGGAGAGGCGGAAGTTTTTTCTTCAGCATTTTAATTAGGAGGGAAGAAATTCATTGAAATTATATTCAGAAGGTCTCCTTTGCATTTCCATCTCAGTGTTATCTCAAATGCATATTGCGACCTCACTACAGTTTGGAAAAGGACCACGAAAGGTTTTGAAGCGTGCTTGGGAACGTCCACCGTTTATGGTTGCAAAACGGAATGCTCGAGAACGGACACGAGTTCATGCTGTTAATCAGGTATAATTTTCATATTTGAGATATATTAATAAAATATTGCTTTTACATTTAAAGGCTATACAGTTTTAAGTTTACAGTTCAGATTTTTGATAGAGCATTTATTTTCTGTGTACTCTGTCTTCTTATGAAAGACTCTGTTCGTCACTCAAGTAGTATTATCTAGAAGAGATTACTCTACAATGATGTTTTTTGTTAAAGATGAGAAATAAAGGATCTTTCTTATTTATTAGACATGATAGACTCTCAGGGACAATCATATTGATTAACTTTTATTTTTTTTTTTTTACTAACTTTTATTTTGTTTCCATACTAGGAAGATTAATGGATACTTTACACATTTCCATTCTCTCTATTCTACAACGAAGATTTTTCAGAGAAAATATGAATGAAATTGAAATAAATTTAATAAAACCCAAATTTTAGTGTAGGGATTAATTTCAACTAAGTCAAATTCTCAGCAAATGTTTTATTGCAGGCCTTTGTTGCGTTGAAATTTCATCTCCCTGCAATACGATCCAATGCAAAACGCGTATCGAAATTGAAAATTCTGAGGGCAGCTATTAATTACATTGCTGCGCTGACCGATTTACTTCGCGTGTGTATTGCTTTTGTAGACAATTTTATTTTCAGTTTAAAAGTAGGATTAGCTATAAATTTTAGACTGTTCCACCATAGTGACTATAATTACTATGCGATTAAATTTATCTGAGGAAAAAGCTGTTGTTCAGCAATGTTCCAAAATAATTATTGCAAAATATCTTTCGTAGTGATAGGATCAATTGGTGAACTTCAAGGATTGCTCACTTCTATTCCTGTCGAGATGCAAGGCACACTACATTAGTTTAACTTTGCAGGGAAATGCAGATTTTTCGAAGCTTAATGCGTCAAGTTACTACTGCGATGATAACATAAATGGTAGGCTAATTTAAATGTATTTTGGCTTTATCAATTTCCCTATCTCTTTCTATTTTTCTTTCAGTCCCATTTCGCTCTAGGCGAGAAAATCAACTATCAAATAAGGATAATGTGAAGAGAGAAGAACTACAACAACGTCAACAATGCATCATACCTCAAAACATCTATGATACTACTCAATGTTACAATAAGCAGTATTGGCTTGTTGACTATTCTCTATCAAATTAACAAATCTTCTAGCAGATGTTTGCATTTTAGACTTCTTAAATGTTTAAAATAACTCACTAAATTGATATTTGATAGTAACGCTTTTTAATCTTGCAAAGAGTAGAAAAGTTGATTTTCTTTTCGGGAACAAAATTTTTGTTTTAAAATTAAAATGGGAATATCTTCGTAAACGAAGTAATACTTCTATGAGTTAATGCGAATCAGATCATTGTGGTGGGTAAAAATTTCATTTTTCCATATACTGCCATCAGCTTCACATCACCAACATTTGTTACTAATTATCGATTTGCCGCTCTGAAACAAATCTTGTAAACTGACATCCGAGAATATATTCTCGGAAATCTCATCAAAATTCACTTTGAGCTAAATTTACAGTGGATGACATTCAATGGAGTGACAATGAAACGAACAAATACAATGTCTATGAAAAAACGTAAAAAAATTATCCGAAAGGGTTAAAGTTGAAAGTTTATTCTCATCTAACACTTTAATCTGACAGTTACCAGCAAATAGTTTGTGTTATCAATTTGTATTCTCAGCAGGAGATCATCTTGTATAGACAGAAATATGGCAGTCGCAGATGACATTCGGATGCTCCTAAGAATCATTAGGGAAGATTGAAATGTTTCCCCGCTACTTCCCGGCTTTACCATGTTATAAACACAATTTCTTTTTAACAGCAATAACATTGACTATGGATAGAAAGGTGATGCATTAGCAAGAGAAGGACTGTGGTCATATTTTTTAATTTGCAAATTTGCAGTAACTGCTGTTAAAGGGATGATTGATCAGCATAATTACGAGATCTAATGGATTAATGATGAATGTTGCTGGATTTATTTAACTTATAAACCACAAACATGATGCATTCGAATTAAGCACTGAAGATAATGTATGAATGAATGAGTGAAGAAGGATAGTTACATGACACTAAGGTCAGGAAGGACACACCAGGACACTGTTGCAAAATGCAAATATCCTCGGAGATATTTACTGTCTGTTAGTTATTTTGGTCTCTGAGTCGATCTTTACTTTGTTTTTTTTGAAGATGGTATTATCCCTTATAACTCTCTTTATAACAGTCGATGCTAATAAATCCGAAATAAAAACATAATAGAGGAGATATTGAGTGTTTCTCCCAATGAATTACCTCTTCTCGCTACAAACAAACAGAGAATCTCGAGAAACCTCTCGATGCTACTGAAATCGGCGCTTACCTTGCAGCTATACAAGAGTAACAGATACGTCCTAGGGACATCACAAATGTGTGAGACTTCTCCCGAGACAACACAAGGACCAATGTAAAAAACGTGTACTGCCAACACTTCTAGTGGTTGGTTTGATTGATGGTTGGTTGATTGAAAGGGAGGTAAAAGGAAATAGTTAGTTTCACGATTTGCTAGTGCTTGTTAATTCTACTCCGGTTTAAGTATAACTCATAACTCATCCGAACCGGAATGATTGTTTATAGATATGTCATGTCTCGTACTGCTTCTGTCTGCATAGAATAAGCGCCATTTGACGACTCTTCAGTTCTGTCTTCCTTACGATATACTAAGAATGGAAGGGGAGGGGAGAGAATGATGAAAATTGATATTAAAGTGGTAAATTTGCATATTTATGAACTTTTATATTATAGAGAAGAATTTGACAGAGTAATCCATTCCTTTAGAATCTTCTTGTTCCGTGCCGGGAAACTTTTCACTATTTTACTCTTCTTTTCTGGCAGACTATGGGAAGAATATCTAGATCCTAGCATGATTAATGAATGGGTGGTTTATTGGGTAAGTCTCAGGATGAAGGATGATGTGGATAGATAGCATCTGCAATCGTTTTACCCTTATTCACATCTTCAAAGAATTTCTCTAGCTATTACATTTAATCAATAATCGTTTTGTAGCTTACACGAGAAAACAAAAGAGGAAATCTAGGATGGATGACGCACGGGCAGCAAGAAGGAGAATACGGTATCAACTTCGGAGGACATTTCTACCAATGACTACGAGCAATACCGACTTCTTCTATCGAATGGCATTCGATGATGTTGAGAGACGAATTAGTTAACGGTAACGATAGTGGTTACGTTTACTTTTACCTTCGCAGCACTTTTCTTCATATTTCAATTGCTTATGTTTGTGGCGGGATGTCATTTAATGGAGAAAGATGTATTTGAGTTATTAAAGCCTTGTTGCTTCTTTCAAGGTATGATTTCTGGTTGCATATAAGTTATCACAACGACTAAGACAATGTGCATTGTTGTTTGCAGTAATATTAGTGTTTGTTTCCAGGAAAAACTACATTCTGTCCTGTCATTTGAGAGAAGGGCGTATTAGGAATGTGAATGATTTCTGTACTTGCAGTCATTGTAGGCCGGTTGCGCATATTCCTGTTTGGTGAGTGATTATTGGATATATTTAGTTATGTTAAAAATTGTATTTATGTAAATATAAAACTTTGCGAGCAGAATTCTCCGCTTTTAAGCTATTTTAATATTGGTTGCATATTGTATGTTTTTAGGATTTTTTTTTTCTTTTTTTTTGTATTTAAATAGCTTGAGAGTTGCAGTTATGCGTATTGCTGTCATGAAGTCGAAAATGATTTGAAGGGAAATTGCGCTCATGCAGAAAGATTGATCCAAAAGATGAGCAATTTGGAATGTATTACTGAACATGTGTCGTTTGCTAGCATATGCTTGGATACAGAGGTAATTTTCATTTGGATATAATATGTACATGTTTTACAGCACTTCTACAACGCCTTCCCGTCCTAAAGTCGTAGCGTGAAATCATCTTTTCGTCCGAAGACGACATTTTAAGCAAACTTTTTCAGGTGTTGAACATGTTAGCAGAGCATCCAGGAGTTTGTCCAAGCTGGCTCGGGAATATACTTACATTTACCAATCGTGAATATCGTTATCTAGCTTATCGTCCTTTCAGTTACTGGATTCATGGCAGTGAATCAAAGGGTAATCGAATGGACCCACCACTTTGTGTTCTTAACAAGATAGTTGAGGTTTCTTTCCATTCAAAATTTATCTATGTGGAAGTAATGTTGATGCAGAAATCCTTAGTTCAAGAATAGATTTCCGGGAAATCTCTAAAGTTTATTAGCTGGAGTTTGCAGAGGTATCCGTTCAATGAAAAAATTTCGGCTGGTTATTGGGGGGTATTCACACTCTTTGGATCTTACTTTTTTGAGGAGTACGAGGAAGGCGATGATATGTGGAACTATATCGATTTACAACATTCACACTAAAATGCAAGGACGAACCTTGTGTCGGTGAAATTCCTTTAATGGACTAATCAAAAAACTTCGGTCCGCGTATTGTTCCTCCTTTTGGACTTCTGTAGTTTGAAGTGTTAGTCTCTTTTCAGTGATGCAACAAGTAACTGCAGCAGTATAGTACCACTTTAGAAAATGATAATTCTCAATAATATTTGGAGAAAAAAGTAAGAAGCCTTGGTCCTTTAGACTTCTCTGCAGTCGTAACTTCATCTTATCAACTGACTTATCTCTGTTTATGTTGATTGCTGCAACTTTTATATTATGCTTGTCACGGTTGCTGTTATGGTCTTTTTTGCAGTAAATCTAAGAGGTTAAAAAATAGTAAAGAACACGATCTGAATAATGTAATTTATATAATGTTGTTATATTATGACTCGAAATCAAAACCCGTCACTTCATCCTTAAATTCATCCTTCAAAAAGTGGAGATCTTAATTTTTAACGTACTGCTGCATCTATCATATGCATTTGGGATAACTACAGTAGATGAGAAATTCAAAGATTCGTTCGGCTCCTTTTATGCTTTGAGTCTTAGTAATTTTTCACATGACATTATATGCAGTATAAAGAAAATTTATATAAAAAACTGGTAACAACAATGAGTCATGAAACATCATTATCAATAGAAATTATCCAATATGAGTCAGAATTAACAAAATCACATCCTACTGATAGCGACAGCAAAAAATTAAGGAGGAATAAGCGCAATAAATTAGTAAAACGCAAGTAGAAAATACAAGAGTAACATGCATAGGAACAAGGACAATCCTTTATGGTGTTAATCTTCTCGGATCACGTGGGAAGAGGGATGCCAGACGCACGTTTCCAAGTCCGAGGAACAGCATCGTTACACGTTCTAATCCTGAAGTGTAAGAAATACTTTGACTGTTCTAAAATGAACCAAGCATTAAAGAGAAACAAATTTCTTACCAATACCACCTCCAGCATGTGGCGGACAGCCAAATTTGAATGAGTCGATATAAGCTCGAATCTTTTCCAAATCAATTTGGTGATGTTTAGCTCTTTCAGTTAACAACGATGCATCATGGATTCGCTGAGCACCAGATAATATTTCTTCGCCTAGAATCGCAAATGTTCCATAAATGAATAATTCATACAACGAGCAACAATTCTCAACACTTTTTAGCTGTCCCAGTTGAGTACATTGATGTTCAGCTTTTTCAGCTGATAAGGAAGCATTATCAATTAACTGAACGCCATGTAATGAAAGAATTTTACATCCTAGTGTCACCTTAATGATAAATATAAATAAGTGGTATTACTTAGGAAAAGCGAAAATAACCGATTACATATTTTTCAAAATTTTTCTTCATCTGAAATATATAAATTCGTTTTCAGAAATAAATGTAGGTCAACTAGACTATGTGTCGCTACAGTTGAAAGCTCATCATTAAAATAATCACGAGCAATGTGTGTCACAAGTAAGAGTCGTACTAATCATTTAAGTCTAAACCAAATTAAGACTAAATGTCACCTCGCATAAACATGTCGTAGCTGTTGGAGTATTTCGGATCGTTCGCATCTGGCATAGTGTAAAATGGACGAATTGCCAGTGGGTATCTGTCGAGTATATAAAAATCCGTCCGATATTTTTCTTTTACCAATCTACCTAAAAATTTTTCTACCGGAGTACTTAAATCATCTTCATCTCCTATTTCAACACCATTTTCTCGCAACAATTTGACTGCATCCGGATATCTGAAAATCATTAAAATTCACTGTTTTTCATTTCATTAGCCTTCGTATTCCTATTTAATATGTAGTAATTCAAATGGAAATATTATATGTAAAAATGAAAATGACAAAAATATTGACTAAAAAGCAGATAAATATTCATAATACATGAAAAAATTAGGATAATCATCTGAATCTTATATACTTCATATATATAATAGCGTAACAAACCTGAGTATAAGGGCAGGCTCAACGAATTCGAATGGTTCACAGGGATACTGCTTGTCAACTATCTCAATTTCATGCTTGAATTTCGCTTGCAAATCTTTGAAGATATCAATCAAAACAGCACCAATGGTTTCAAGAACCTGAAACCAAGTTTAAAAAAAGTTCTGAACAGAAAACTCTGTACAGATATTTTTATCTTTCTATTTAAATATATTTTCAAATTTAACAATCCAAAATAAACCTACCTCATGGTAGTGGAATTTAAACGCCATTTCAATATCAAGGCCAACAAATTCTGTTAAATGCCGATGAGTGTTGCTGTCTTCTGCACGAAAAAAAGCACCAATAGTGAAGACCTGTAAAACAATGAAGCATATGGTTTAGTGAGATAAATCAAATCACAACTAACAGAAAGGACAAACATCTCTAAAAATTGCTTACTTTGTCAAAATCTGCAGCAATTGCCATTTGTTTATATAACTGCGGTGACTGAGCAAGGTAAGCAGAACGTTTAAAATATGAAACCTAAAATGATGGAAAGATTGACAGCTCAACCAAATTTGTATCAGAATTGCAAGGAAAAGGAATAATGAATAACCTCAAAGACATTTGCGCCTCCTTCGCTCGCTGCAGATATGATTTTTGGTGTATGTATTTCCATGAAACCGCGCTTCTTTAAAGTGTTTCGGAATAGCTCACAAACACCACCTTGTATAGAGAAAATAGCATGACTTGTCTGCGTACGGAGATCCAGTACTCTTAACATTAACAAATATTTTTCTTTTTTCAGTTACTTCCTAGCACAGTACAAATTTATGAATTATTCCAATCATGAATCTTTTTTAGTTTTAACAAAGCATTTCCTAACTAACTACGGTAAGATTCAATAAACAAAAAATTTCGAGGTGCGCCCTTATTTTACATTTTAGTATTCTGAAGCGTATAGCAATGAAGTTAGTATGCTACAGTACATTCCTCACTAATGAAAACAGTGCATATTTTGATAACCCAAATAAAGTAAAACTAACTGGTCAGGTAATTAAATCACAATAATTATATTTTTATCATTATTAGAGTCAATTCTCAAATCGAACATCGACTGAAAAGAAAACCTATTATCTAGACGTGTATCGAGATTCACAACAGATAAAGATGAATCTTCTGTGCTTTTGCCTTCCTCTTTAATTCGAGCAGCATCTTCTATTTGAAGTGGTAAGCGTGGTTCTGCTGTGCTAACAACGAACAGTTGCGTGATATGCACTTCGACCTTTTTCTGTGTACAGCTGGTAATTTCTTGTTCCACTTTTTTTACAACACCTCTAACATCAATAATTGATTCCTAAAAATGTTTTTGGGAATAAAGAAGTCTTATATATTTATATACTAAGGAATGTCAGAAGAAAATATATTCGATGAAGAAAATTTTACTTTCGAAATATTTCCAACAAATTTCAACATTTGCTTGCTAATCTCTTTTCCAACAGACAACATTCCCTGTATCGAATGCATTCGCTGACGAATAATAATGAAGCACGTTTTTCCCTTTATCCTCGACGTATGCAAACGACCTCGAATCCAAATCTGGAAGCAATAAGATTCACTGAACGAGAAATCTGCAGTGCAAAAGTTACTTCATACATCAATAATCTGTAGTACACATCTTAATCAACCGATAATATTATTCTATTTTGAATCCCAGTAACTATTCAAATTCAGGTATTTTCATATAATTACGCCATGAATGTCTTTAAGTAAATTGAATTTAAATCTTTCCGGACATTGTGATGATATATACATCTCCAAACCTCAATGCTTAGCATGACTATAAATTACAATATACGTGCTACATTTCGAAATTAGCTCTACCAAATTTCAGAATATCACACTTTTAGAACGCATATTTTTTAAATACACATATAAAAGTGCTTAAAAATCCATATCATAGTTCACCTCATGTCCTTCTAAATTCACGAAAACATCTTTAACATCAATGAAATCCAGTTTCCTTAACTCAATAGACTGTATAATTCCATAGGCGCCATAACAACCTTTCGAGATATCTTCGTCCTCTTCTTTCTCGTTCTCTTTAACAAGTGCAACTGCATTCTAAATTTCCAATACTGTTGTCAGAGTTACATTTACAATATACGAATTATCTGGAATAGAAAAAAGAACGTAAAAGATGATGTCAGGTATCAAACCTCAGCCTTTTTCTCCATTTTTTTTTGTTGCTTTGCCAGTTTGTTCAGTTCTTTCTTCGACAATTTCTTTTCACTTTCAACTCCATCCACACTCGGTCCAACTTCATTCATCATCCTGGACCAAATTCTTAAACTGTCTTAAAAGCGAAATGAAAGCAATAAAGCACGAATGTTTGTTACATATCGACCAGGAAAACCAATCAATCAATTATTCAATCGTATGCACGGAAAAGCTACACGTAAATATACCCACGCTTTCCCAGCCGACTGCCAAGCGGCACTTCCCCAAGATGTGATAGGAACCGGACGCCTGAATGACACATTGAGTCAGAGATGGCGGCCGTCACGTTGGCCGCTATGAAAACTGTGATTCAGTTGTGTACTCTTGTAAAAGTGTGGTTTGGGTACATTCGTATGCGTGGCTGTGTTTGTTGTCAGCTGTAGGTGAGCGTACTTTGTGAATGGATACAATGAAAGATGCCCGTTGGGAACCCACGCTAGACAGATCTTAAGGAAAGGCTTCCGCTATTGTTTTACCCAATTAGAATGTACTTCGTTCTCATCCTCTCTCTTCCTTAACTGAACTATCTTTACGATGCTTGTATACATAGAGCCTTTGGCAAGCGATGAAATGTTTATCATTTAATTGATAACAACAGCAGTTGAATATTCTCGGAAATCTCATCAAAATTCACTTTGAGCTAAATTTACAGTGGATGACATTCAATGGAGTGACAATGAAACGAACAAATACAATGTCTATGAAAAAACGTAAAAAAATTATCCGAAAGGGTTAAAGTTGAAAGTTTATTCTCATCTAACACTTTAATCTGACAGTTACCAGCAAATAGTTTGTGTTATCAATTTGTATTCTCAGCAGGAGATCATCTTGTATAGACAGAAATATGGCAGTCGCAGATGACATTCGGATGCTCCTAAGAATCATTAGGGAAGATTGAAATGTTTCCCCGCTACTTCCCGGCTTTACCATGTTATAAACACAATTTCTTTTTAACAGCAATAACATTGACTATGGATAGAAAGGTGATGCATTAGCAAGAGAAGGACTGTGGTCATATTTTTTAATTTGCAAATTTGCAGTAACTGCTGTTAAAGGGATGATTGATCAGCATAATTACGAGATCTAATGGATTAATGATGAATGTTGCTGGATTTATTTAACTTATAAACCACAAACATGATGCATTCGAATTAAGCACTGAAGATAATGTATGAATGAATGAGAATTACTGGATTTCTTATCTTGCTATCAGAAAATAATTATCTTTTTTAATTAGCAAATATTGCATGATTAGTTTAATCCTCTGTAATTATGAACATTAATAGATTGATACAATTTTCCTCCGAATTTTTGTCTCTAATTCCATTCCTAACTACCGTTTTGCTGCTCTTAGAGGAAATATCGAGCACATCCATGTCCCTTTACATGGATGCTTTACTCCTGACTGAAATTTCAAACAATCTATTAATTCTCGGAGACTTTCTTTGCATTTCAAAGAATTCCTTACTGACCGTATCGTTTGAAGAATAATGCTCATTAGTGAGTAACATAAGGTATATCACTGAAAATATTCGTTTATTGATTGCTATCAGTCAGAATAAGGTATGCAAAACTGCATAGCATGCATTAAACAGAAATATGCAAGAACCCGTTGAGGAAGTGCTTTTAACAAGTGACAAACGAGTTAGTTAAAAGTTCACCGTGTGCTTTGGAAATCGTACATTAAAGGTAGTGAAATTAGGAGTTCCTTTTCCAGTTATTGGAGAAATTTACTCACCAAGCATTTGCATGGAGACAGGAAATTGATATTTCTCGATGAAACAAATTATTCCTCAGCTGTAAAGAAGTAGAAAACTGTCAATCCATTTCACTGCTCCATCAAAAGATCCATAATATTAACATGATATGGTTTTCTGCATGCAAGATTTCTACCGAAGAAAATCTTTGCTATTAATAAATCACTCGTAGTGTATTGTTTCTTTGATGAATTATTAGAAATATTGTTTTTTTTTTTTTTTTTGATTATTACTATAGATGACACTGTTCTTATTCTCACTTATTTTTAATCATAAAATTGAAGTCTGGTTTCTCGTTGACATTTAACCTCAACGTGGGAGGAATTAATGAATTATTAGTTAAACATTTCAATAGTCGTAATTTACTGTCTGATTTTAAGGTTGCGTTTTTCACAATAACCGGCACTTCTCCACAGTGACTCTTTTTGACTGAGAGCCTCTTGTCGAATTCCGCCTTTGCATCAAAATGTGGCATCTGGATGACTTCCAGTGGTGCAGATGTCTCCTGATTCTCATGTAATTGTTCACTACTCTCCTTTCTAATGGTTAGTAATCTGAAAGAGGAAGGAACCTTTAGCAGGATAATGCTGAATTTTGAATTTGCTTAGTTGCTATCCTTTGACTCAACAAGCAATAAACTTACTTATTTTCCAGATCATAGATAGTGCTGTGCTTTTCCTCGCAGTAGACAAGAGTTTGACACTTCTCATCTTCAGAAGCCCTTTCTTCAGATACACCGAGTAGTTCCTGACAACTATTTGCTGATGCAACAAAACTAGTATTCTTACTATCGCATTTTGTAAAGCCTTTTTTGGCTTCAAAAGGTTTCTCCGCCACAACTAAATGCTTATATCCACGCGGCAACAATGGCTTTGAGAAAATAGATGTTGGCTTATTCAATTTTTGTCGAAGCGGCGGACATGGTGGCGCAATTTGTGGTCTGTGCAAGCTTATTTGTTGTATTTCCGGAGCAATTACGAATGTATCCAGTTGTATTTCTTTCTTTTCATGATATTGATTGATATTTCTTGTGAAAGAGAATTCCTTCTTCTCAACAATTTCTTTCAAGATTAATTCTGATTTTACCCCGTCACATTTTTTTTCGATTTTCTGTTCCGATCCGATATATTCGTTGATTTCAAATTCAGTTATTACTGGTTCCTGGTTAGTTATCGATGGAGTGGTGTTTTCTGAATTGATTCTAGTGATCTGTGACGATGAGGATATCGAAGGTATTTCGAAAGCTTGACCTGGCTGCTGGAAATCCGGTTTTGCAATTCGTTTTATTTGGGTTGTGCTAACATCAATTGATTCAACAGTTCTTAATTTTGTTTTCCTAAAAGCGGAATATACCATAACTGGAAAATTTAAAATTGCTTCACAATTATCCACTTCTTTGCTCACTCCTTGTATCTCTTTTTTTGAGTCAGATATATACTCCTGATGCCTTATTTGATCTGGAATCATTGACTCAATCAGAAACTTTTGAAATGGCACTCTGGAATTTGACTGCAAATGTTCCCTGAATAAAGGCATTGCATCAAATTCAGGAACTCTTTGCAACTTGCATAATGGGGGTTCAAAGTTCGCGTATTTTTCAAAAAGTATTTCTTTACTCAAAGGTTCATTTTGGGATTTTATTCGATTTGTATGGGAATTTTCCGAAACTTTAGTGAAATTCCTGGTCTCATCTAGAATGATTTCCGTCAAACATATTTCGTCAGTATTCGATTTTTGCATAGGTGTATTATCCAGTGATGAGTCGAAGTGATTAGTCATCGCAGTTTGCAATTTCTGATTAATTTTTGTAGCTGACGAGATAGTTTCGTTGCTTGCCCATATAACGCTGGATACATTTTTATCTGTTCCGGAAAACACATTTCCCTTACTGGCAAGGAACTTGCTTTGAGTGACAGTAAACTTTCTCTTTGTGTCATCCAGTTTTTGCATTACGTAATCCGGACCAGCTTGATTCATCGTCTGTTTTAACACAATTTTTGCAGCAGTGACCATAAGTATTGTTTTGGTTGCCGTTGATAATTGCTGCTGCTTGTTTCCTTTCAGTTCCTGAAGCTCTTCCCAAAAATTTCCAAACTTAATGGAATGACCTGGTACCATGTAAGTTTCTATTTTAAGCTTACCCGCAAACAACTTGCGTATTTCTTTTTTCTTCAATTCCTCTAGTGCATCAGCTGCTGATTCAGTTTCCAATTTTTTTTTATCTCGGGTCAATTTATTGCTTGAATCAATTAAATTTGAGAAACCAATGATTGTGATGGGTTTCACTGCCACTGAAGTTGTTAATTTAGCTCGAGGTGCTGTTATTAGAGACAGGTCAGAACTAGCAATGCTTTCAAATGTTTGCTGCAAATTGCAGAGACTTCCCGGTATATAATTATGGCTTAATTGCATCTCCGCATGATCTTCGACAACAATCTAAAATAAAATTCAATAAAGTGCTGATTGACTTTATGAGGAATTGTAAAAGGATATTTAGCTAAGTTTTTCACTTACTAATCACATAACGCCTATGCTTACTACAATTATTTTCCAGGAAAGTTTCATATTAATAATACTTGCTGTTCATTTTAAGCTATGGGACACAGTGATACCTATCAAGCAAACAATACTCGCTGATAGTATAGAAATGCATTAAATCGTCTACGGAGCAAAATATCAGAAAAAAAATCTGCTAATTTCTTTGACCTATTAAATTGCCATATATATATATATAATCGTATTAGTTACTTATTTTTTTAAAATTACTTTTCACAAATTCATAATTAGTAATTAATTAGCTGTTGATTATGATAAGTCTTGAACGTAAGCTATTGATTATGATAATCTTTCGAATGTAATGACAAAGTTGTTGGGAGATTAGTAGAAATTATTATTTCTTTTTTACGAAAATTAAATTATTTACTGTCTTGTTTGACATTCCTCCGCCTTCGTATATTTGTTTTCCTAACCTATCATCAGAATTTGGATCGGTGATAACACCCATAGGAGTTGTTTTTGCTACAGATTCCATAAAAACATCTTCAATTTGCTGATCTATATTTGCCCTCAGAATTTTTCTCGCTCGAATTAATATATTCTTGTTCATTCTGTCCGGTTTTGCATCAATAGTTCCACTTCCATTATTGAGCTTTACTATGAATTCTTGTTTCGATATTGGACAATTATTGGAGGTGAGAACAGTTGGTGTATCCATGACCTGAATTTTCTCCAAATTGCGTCGTGAACATATCCTTGGCTTTTCGTTCATTTTTATTATTGAGTGAATAATTTTTTCAACAAATTCATTTGCATAACACTCTAACTTTTGGAAAACTGTATTTGTTTGAGATTCTTGAGCACAGGAAGAGTAATTCGGATCAGTAGCTTGAGATGACTCAGAAATTGTTTTATCCTTACTCGTAATACTTACTACCGCTGATGCCATTTTACTTATCTTCTGATTTGCAGAAGATGGAGATTCATTAGGAATTGGGCTGGATTCAAGAACTTGATAAATACGATTAGATAAATTGAAATCCTTAGCATTCGCTTTAAGACTGTTAAAATTATCAGCATTAGCTGGATAGAGATCAGGTAAATGTAAATTACACTTTGGTCCGTAATGTCGTGTATTTGCCGATTTCAGATCACTTGGTCGTGGAAATTCAAAATCTCCATTACCAGTCGCATTTCGTTTTAACAGAACAGATTCGAATTCAGTTAATACGGTGGTAGAGTTTATTAGCTTTTGGTATTTTAGCTTTTTCTGAGCAGTTTTAATTTCAAGATCACTGGGACGCAATCGTTTCTGGCATTTATTTTCGCTAGTCAGACCTTTTCCAGCTGTAGTTAATTTTCCGTATTCAGTTAAAATAGTAGGACCATCTTTAATATATCTCACTGAAGAGTGCTTATCAGGATTACATTTAAGAAAATTAGAAGCTGCAGGAGCAGAAGTAAGCTGTTGTTGAATGTTAAAGTGCAGCTGCGAGTCGCTCTCAGTATCGTTATTGCTACCTAACTGATCGTCATCATCACTGATAACATTGCTGTTCACGTGGCGCTTCTTGCTAATACTCACGCTCACTGCTGATTGACGTCGTAGGAAGAAAATGTTTTCAATCATGTCGCAGTATTGTTGTACCTCATTAAACTGGCTTTCGCTTAAGTTAACACGACCACATTTTCGGGCACGCTCTGCCGCTTCATGGCACTGTCGTATAATCTTCTGAAATCGATATTACACTAATTCGTCGTATATAAATTCAAATACAAAAATATCTACGTCATAGTATCTGCCACACATAATTACAGTATGTCTGTAGGAAACCTTTTCAATTTGGGTTTAAAATAGATGTGACTTAAAGAGCTGCAATGAAAAATATTACGCTAACCTGTAAACAAAAATATAATGATATGAAACTACATGGAGATATTTAATACAGAAAAAATAGAATTGCATTCAAAATAAGGTCTGGTATTTTAATTTTCAAGTTATGCAATCTTTCAGAAATTAGAAATTTAATGGCACTGATTAAAATTAGAAAACGAAAGGCTTAATCATAAAATGAATTTCGATAAAAAGCTTAACATGAAATGAATTATGTACTTTTTACTAAAATTTCATGATAACTGGAGTGAATAGGTTTATCTATCCGGTCTTATTTATTTATGCAGTACTAATATTACCTTAATTATTTTGTATTTATGAAAAACGGATCAATTTCGGCTTGTTACTGCTAATCTCCACACTGATTAAATTACCATAAACATTTCATATTTACATATTTTTGGAAATTCTTGAAAGTTGTTTACTTGTTTATGGGCAAAGTTATTCTTAACTCATATGTAAATGCACAAATAAGATGACTTCAGTAAATTCTGTAGCGTTCATTTATCTGTAACTCATTTAAAACATATATTTAACTGGCTGAACTAAAATACTATATAGATTCCTGCGAGCGACAATAATACAGAAGAATTCAGGATAAATGGAAATGAATAAGATAGGATTTATTGCAAAATATATGAACTATTTAAATTAAGACTAATAAGATAAAATAAATACCTCATCAGATACATCTTTGTACAACGAATATAATAGTGCAATGGAAACATAGGCAGCCATCAGATCGGGTTCATTACCCACAGGCCAACAATCTAACATTGCATATTTAATTTTAGCAAAATGTTTTTCAATTTGCCGCCATTGTTCTAACAATTGCCTTTTCCTGAAATATGAAAACTCTGGTGTTTACCAATTTGACCCAAGTTCTTTTATTATCTATTAGATAAGCAATTAAAAATATGATCCATCCATAACGTTCATTAAACAACTAATTAAAACAAAAAATTTCTTTTGATCCAATTTTCTGCACTCGGAAATGTCTAAAGGGCAAAATTTAAAAAAAATGGTAAACACATAAGTAGAAATTTTAGGAAGCTTTGAAAAAGATCATTATTTTTATTTCACTAACCTGTTGCAATGTTCAGTACTACAAAAAGTCTGAAACAGAATTCTTCGTCAAATTTCCATAAAATTTCATTTTATGGAAATTTGACGTAAATATGGCTTAACTTAACCTTTCTTGCGTGTTAACATCTTCTTTCTTGAGATTAGTGCATGCATGCAAGTACACTTCCCTGACGACTGCAACATAACTAATAATAACAGATGGTTCGCAACCTCGATATACTGCAATCTGATCCAGTAGATCCATTGCATCAACGCAAACTGCAATTTACCTTGATATTTCTCGTAAGATTTCCAGGAATGGAGCTAAAACACAAGAAACAGTCTTAAGAATTAATTGAATTCTTCCCTCGGAAAATTTCTTGAATGAAAAAGTCCAAATGAATTATTTGTTGAACTTCTGTGAAATGATTTTTTTTACTACAATCCGCTAATATAAAATTTTGCTAAGACTTAATTCATTGGAAAGAAGCAAAAATTATTGGCAGTTGTAAAGGAAAATTTATCAGAGAAAGAAGGAATGAAAATTTTTTAAATCATTGTAGGATTTATTATATAGAGTCAAATGAAAACTTTGTAAAAAAAAAAGTAAACAAGATAAAATCTCTCGAAATGAACAAATTTGGAGTTGTGAACAATAGCCTTTGATTCCTTCTTCATACTTTCGAGAGTTCTTTTAAAAATTGACAGATTTGTATCAGTTGTCACCACAACTGTCTTTTTAGAAATAGGAGCACGAAAGTGATCAGTTTGTCTCAAAGTTTGTTTCATTTTTTTCTTTTCTTAATTTTGTAATGACTTTTCTCTCCTTTCTATGACACAAATTCGGATGTGAAAAAAGTAATGAAAATATTGTTAGTAGGATTTATGGAGAATGATAAAAATGTGATGGAAATTAGAAAAAAGGAGAGTTTAGCAGTGTTTAATAAAAGAGGGAAGAAATGGTAGCATTGAGGGAAAGTAAATCTAATTTAATTTAACTTGTATTATCACTCTTTTGCATTAATCTATAAGCTTTTTACAAATTCGTCAAAAACAAGTTAGAATATGAGCAATTTAAAGTGTTAAATTCCAACAGATTCGAATTCCTGGCTACAATTATTCGTTTTAAATAGACTCTCTTCAAAGCAGTAACGTCATTATTCCTTTTGCTATAACATAAATTTGGATATGAATGAAGTAATTAAAATATTGATTGTGAAATTTATATGGACTTCAACACTTTGATATTTTGATAGATTCAAGTTAGAAGGTCTGAGGATTCAGCCAAAAAAAGAAAGAGAAAAAGCTTGTCAGATTTGTATATGAATTGAAGGAAAATGTTCAATGTTGTCTTTATCAAAGAGTAAAATAGTTCAAAATCGAAAATAGATCAGAAAAAATGATGCACAAATTTAGGTTCATTTATCACCTAATTTCTTTCCATAAACCTTTGAAGAGAAATACGCTATGTTCCGTGAATTTACGGAGTGGGTATTAGCGCTGTATTTGCACGAAACTGTAAAATGATGTTTTAAGAGCAAAAAAAACTTAAATGAAGGCATTTCCATGCATGCATTGTCAGTTTGATAAATAATTCTATCTACTAAGAAAATGTTTAAAAAACATTTAAAAGGTTAAGAAAATTGATTTGTGCATTGATTACACTGATTAAGAAGACACAAAGAAGACAAAAAAGTGCTTGCGATGAACAAACTTAAATTTGAGAAAAGTAAGAAGTATAAATCTTTGGGATACAGCAGATTAAATGATAGTTTAATATATATATATCGATAAGCACAATGTATTTTTCTTCCTATACATTTCTTTCTATTACTTTTGGATAGAGAAAACAGAAAGCTAATTCGCATTAAATGAAAGATAATGGAATCAACAAAAGAATTGAGGAAATACTACCTTTGGCTATTAAAATTACAGCATTTTCTGATTTGTATTTTTGTAATTTTATTTTTTAAACATAAGAATGTTTGTTTGGAAGGGGTGGAAAATGAAAGCCTTTCGGAATCGATATGTTAGTGGGAGTAGAGATGCCATTCAGCTGGTATCGGCCGACTTTATTAGCTGATGGTACTGGTTTCGGTATTCTCCCACTAACAAACAATTTCAACTAACTACACTTCCGCTATTTCTCTTTTATAATTCCTTTTTGAAACAGGCGAGAGCAACTTAATCACATTTTGACAAATAAATGGACAATATGAAGCATTATTATGTCGGTTTCATCTGATCACTAAGTCATATTAGCTACTCATCGCCTGAGGGATTATCAGCGATACTTTTTTCAAATGATAGATCAGAAAGTAATAGTACCAGCCATTCTACACACAGTGATCCTATAAATTTCGCGTTTATAAATAGTTGCTGGGATACATCAATATTTACCAGATCGATTATAGCATTTAATCGAAACTTCGATGCATGAAATTCAAGGAATTGTTTCACAAATATTGTGCATTTAAAATTTTAGGGAAAAGTTTGAGTATGAGAAACAAAATTTGATGAATATTAAAATGAAATTCAATAAACTGAAGATTTTAAAATGCAAGTTTGAGAAACCTTGCTCACTATCTTCACGTCGTTTATATGACACATTGAGACGTCCGTGAAAAGCTCTATAAATGTTGCACATTTCAGCACCGTTAACTTTAACTCTCAAAATTGATTCAGAATCTTTCCGTTTCGCATCAAGAATTCGTTTAATATGCAGTGGTGATGGAGAAGTGTGAAATGGAGATTTATCATTCACTGATATTTTAGCACGTTCCATTCTTGCAGTCCTGCAACTATTAGATATATTTTATGAAGATAGTATGAAAACACCGCAAGTAACTATTCCGACTGATACATAATGCCATGAAAAATAATGTTCCGAATAATAAAATATCAGAAAAAAATCTATCAAAAAATTAATTATGGCTGGTTCTAGTAAAATTAATTGTGTAATCATGAATACTATCACTAATAATCAGTTATTGCTTTTAAGGCATTTAATAGATGTATTAGAGAAACAAAGGAAAGAGATGTGAAAAAAGCTTATGTCAATTATTAAAAATCTATTTTGCTAATAAGAGAAAATGAAAACTTCAAAATTTGTCAATTGACCACTAAGTATACATACATATGCGCTAAATGCTTGGCATATGTTGAATAGAGTTTAGCATATACAGTAATAAGCACGAAAAATTAGTTAGCTTGCAAACCATTTAATAAGCAATAAATGAAATTTGAGATAAAATGGCTATTCGCACTAAAGAATTCGCAAGTGTTCACTAAAAAATTGTATACTTTTAAATAAAAAATAATCGGCTTCTTGTACAAGCTTTTCAGATGTTTTTATCAATGTAAATCATTTTAAAGTAAAATATTCAGCCAAAATCTTGCAAACAATGAATGAATTATTATTTATTTACTTATGATTATTACTAATTGTTATTATTATTATTTTATTATTATTATTATTATTATTTAAATGAAAAGAATTTAGTGGCCACGAAGAATCAAAAATTTTAAATAGCAAATGAATGCGGAAATTTCAAACAACAGCAATATAATACTAAAATGTTATAACAAAAATGAAAAAAATGTGCAAAAATTTTCGATGGATCTTATGGTACTGTTTATATACACAAAAAGTATTCTATTCCTGGAACTGAGAACGAGTGGAGAATAGAACAGGATAGTGTGCACTTTGCAGATGGAATGATCCGTCAATACAAATTTGTTAGCTTTCATCCAATAACTTTAACATTATAATATTTAGATTCACTTTTTCTGCCTTTGTAGGAATAATTCTGGAATGGAACCCATCCTTATTCATTTTTATTTGGGAATTCATAGGAGAAATTTTTAAAAACCTATCTTAGAAGTCGTTATTGCATATCAGAACTAACAGTTAATATGACAATAAAATTTAGAAAAGACTTGGAGGAAGGCATTAAAATAATCTTCGTGCAACTTCTTGTTCAGATTAATGTCAATAGAATACCCTAATTCACAATTTCGTGATTCTGTGTAGTTTCGGTAACTCATGTTTCATTTCATTTCAGGTTTTAAGTCTAGCCCCAAGACGACGTGCCGGAATCCAGAACTAGAATGTCTGATATGACTAGTGGTAAGACAAAAATATTACCATATTCGCTTCGGAGACTTTTTTTATTAACATACGTATCGCTCTAAAGGCTTACTGAGTGATAGATTTTTTGGCTTAGATTTCTAATAAATGGTGAAAATCGACAAAATAAAAACAGAAAGGGTAGCCAAAAAAAAAAAGAATTAAAATGTGTGCCATAAATGTGATAACAAGATGAGTTGCTTATCAGTTACATCATCCTATCAAAAAATTTAATCAGCAACAGCAAAACATTCTTTAAAAAGAAAAGATCAGTGACGAGAAAGCAATATTACATCGACTAGTACTATTATCCTAGCACTACGTTTGAAATTTTATATTTTGGAATATGATCTTGTGCACACGAGCAATTCATTATCTAATTTAAATTACTTCATTTTTTATGTGTACTAATAAATGATGCTTAAACGCATTCAGATTTAATAATTTTCATGTTAATGACTTCAAAATTGCTGTAATGAGAACTATGGAAAACACAATCAAAAACTTTGTATGCACTATATATTAATTTCGAGTTCATATTAATTCTGATACCAGTTCTGCGTTCTAATACAAAACTACTTCAGTACTGTTTCCGTATTTCCAAATTAAAAATTCAGAAAACAAAAATTCAAGCAAATAGTTTAAGATTTTTTCTCAACAAATCAATTTTTTTTTTTTTTTTGAAATCATGCTGAAAGTTATTTCCGGGAAATTCTAATTTTATATGTAAACATTAGCCATGTAAATGCTAATTTGGTCCAGTGTATCATGAATCATTTGCATATTTTGACTTATAGATGTGTGATAATCTATAAGCGCTAGAAAGGTCAAACGGAACGTCTACCAATTTTTGGATATACCTCATTGTTCTACTGATTATATTATACTCAAATTTTCCGAACTTGTTCTCTCAAAGAATATAAAATATTGATAAGTAAGTTAAAATGGAACTGAAATAAAATCGAAACCAAATTAAGTTGAGAAAAATCGTATGAATTATAGAAGTTAGTATTTTATGTTTCATCATTTCTCCAACCAGGAAAAATCTTTTAAGGTATGGAATTAATGAGAAAAATATATTTAATGAAAAAAAAAAAAAGTAAATAAATATGTTGATTAAGTAGCGTTGCTATTCGAGAGAAGAACGGAGAAGTGAGTGACTCTATGTCTGTTATTTCCATCAAATGCCATCTCTTATCTCAGGATTTGACCGCTTTTACCGTCATTTTATTATCAATGAAAATTTAAGTGATATTTTCACTTACAGTTGACGGATACCAGCTGCTTCTAAATTTTGTTTTTATGCTAACTGAAAATGCACTTAATGTTTGATCAAACTAGTTTGTTCATGTATTTTCATTTGATACAAAAATTATTTGAGAGATTAGCAGATAGGATAGCAAAAAAAAGTTACGTCAGGATTAGTAAAGACAGCTGATTCTTTTCCTCATAAAAAAATTCAGCGATGATTGTATTATCAGAATTCTCAAAGATTTCAAATTTAAAACTAACACTAAGGAGTACCTTAAATAAAAGGAGATCTTCATTAACTCAATGGGAATAGCAAATTTTTGTGCCATGTAAAAGGTTCAGGTGAGTACAAACAGAGAGAATACAAAAATGCAAGTACTGCAGTACATTAGATATCAAAAACTGATACAAGATATGGTCGTGATATTGATATTATCAATGTTTCATAATTATAATAACTTGACTATAACAAGTGAAGGAAAAGTGAAGTCTAGGATCGAAACATTAAAAAAATACTGAGAAAGGAGTAACCTTAACTCGTTATCGATCAGCAATGAATAATTTAAATCCAATAATTGTAAATTTCCTCATATTAATAGTAGCAAGACAATTGTATTTCCAAATCAAATTCTTAACTGTCTATATCACATCTCATCGTGTTTTCAATGTACGATTTCAAAAGTTCTTCATGGAAGATAATATTTGCTGTGACTTCATTTACATACATCGATACTTTTGTTTTTCGATGAAAATAAAAGACTAGAGAAAAGGAGATTATGGGAACACAAATAATAGTCTCAATAAAGGTTCAAGCAACGAAATAATATCAAGAAATCAAGTCGTAGTTGTATGGGAACAATAACTTTCCGCATCCGAATTCCTGGTTACAAAAGCACGTCATATCACTGTACGTCAACATTCCTATGTGAATTGACAAACATGAATATTACACCAAGGCGGTTTGTTCTGCTTAAGTTTCACGTCTTCAAAATGGAACACAACTGAACACCGCAACAGGAAACATTAGTGGATCGTCCGATAAAATCAAATGGTAGCAGTGCAGGACGGGAAATGCCGGCCCTCTGTGGGTGTCAGATTTGTGTATTTAGGGCACATCACTACTTTGCTATTAAAATTTCTATCAATCGAAAAGCACTAAAATGACCCGCCTGTGCTTTCTTTTACCGCACGGAAGGTATAGCGCATGTAGTGCTTGGCACTAATTTTTATGTCCTCAGACTTTCCACACGGTAGATTTAATTTCAACCTTCTTCGAGCTCGACTTCCACTTTATTAGTACACGATAACAGTCGAAGCAAAAGTGTGATGTTTTAAAATATCGAAAAGCAAAGCCTGATATTCGTCTGTCATGCAGATAAATCATAAACCGATTAAACATCGTGTTCTAGCAAACTTTATACCTATTATTCTCCCTGAATGAATGAATTTTATCATTCAGATAAGACAATACTCATACAACAAAATTTTCCCACATTAACATTCGCAAATAACTGTACCGCATACTCAAAAGTTGGAATGAAAGAAATTCATGAATTCTACCAGTCAATATAAATTTATGCATCATATTTACTGAGTGGTACAGAAACCACGCCACGCTTGTCAATGGATAAAGTCGTAGTGGAAACAATAAATTGTTTATTCCATAAAAAAAAAATGGAATTATCCATGACTATATTAACATGATTGATGGTCCAAATACTAATCTTCATTTTAATATTACCAGTTGGAATTTTGTGTTGAAGCACCCCACTCCTGCTGTTGTGCGGTATCCAGTTGCACAGCTCGCTCCGTTTCTTGCGCCCAATCACTTACAGGTTCGACCATGCTGAAGTCCAGCTTTTTTGCTGGTTCAACACCACCTATTGTTTGATACTGAAATTAAAATACAAAACTCACAAAAAAATTGAGTCAAAATTTTGCAGGAAAAAAGCATGACGAGAAAACAGTAAAATAAAAGTATTTCAATAGAATTTTTAGAACCCAACACCTTTTTTACGAACGACTGGATTAAATTAGAAAGGAATGAATAAAGTAAAAGAAGTAAAAAAAGGAACTAAAAAAATACCATTCCAATGGATCTTACAACCTCATCAATTTTTGCGACCTCAGGAGGCGGAACCCCAGGCCAAGGCTCTTTTACTTCACGCGGTTCTGCCAGTTCTTCCTTCTCTTGTTCTTCTGGATTGCGGTAAAAATATAAATCAGGCATGATTTCCTTGTCATCAAGTACAAACCCTGTCTGCCGTGTCATCTTTCCCTTAATAAGCAAAACTTCACGAGCCAATAGCCACCACATTAGTCCTATTGATTGCACGCCCTGTAAACACAATCATGCAAAGCAGAATATGATGATTAAATTCTTGAAATCTGGAAACATGATACGT